TTCTATTGATGCTAATGATTCTTATTATTGGGGAAAATCGTCTTTCTAAATTTCAGCAAAGTGTAATTACATATTTAGCCCAAGATAGCCTACAAATAATTACCTTTTTACACATAATTATCTTGAAGTAATTAAACGTTATCTTAACTACATTTAGTTGCAAAACACATTTTACTACAATTCAAATAAACAATTAAAACTTAATTTTGAAAGTGAAATATTTTTTACAAATTTAATAAACATCTAATAAATAGCTTACGCAATTTTATCTTTTCAATGAGTTTTTTCCTCTCGATATACTGAGGTATCACACTTAAATACATTATAGCTAAATATTCTACAACATTACTTCTAAATCAACAGAAAACCAATTGATCTTGAGAAAAGGTTAATGAATTTGGGCTACAGGCCTCCTACTTCAGTCTGCACTGAAAGGAATTTGTATTGATTGAAGAAGTTTTTATAAATACATTTAATAAGCATTTTTGTGGAATCGAGATCGACTTTTTAAAGTGCCAAAACAACGCGATAAAATTTTGTCACTCCAGGAATACTTTTGTGCCACGGCCATTTCAAATCAGAGCCCTGAAAAAAAAAGCTACTTTTTTTTTTTTTTTTTNTTTTTTTTTTCTCTTTTTTCTTTTTTTTTTTTTTTTTTTTTTTTTTTTTTTTTTTTTACTCTTTCAGTGAAATCTGTTGGGTATCTAGCCTGAAGAAAATGAAAACAGAAGTTAAGGACTTTAATAGGATTTTGTTTGTTTAATCCCTCCTCCCATAATAATTCTCACCAGTTTATTCTGCTACGGGGGGGATCGGGAAGGGACAATGTAAATTAAACATCACCCTTCATTTAAACACAGTATTTGCCATCACGTAGAAAACAGACTGAGCTGCCTTCGACCTGGGAACACTTCTACGTCGTGTGGTTTCTGCTGAGTACAACTGGTGAGCTTTCCTCGCTCCTTACCTACGTTCAGCTGTCTTCGCGTTTTACGCGCCTGAAAAACGTCTCAGGCCTGGAACAAGGCGAAAGTAACATTTGAAGTTTCCTCCTCGGCGCTACGCTCACTCCCCAGACGTGTTTCTCCGAGGGCCCCGGGCGCCGTGCGCTCGTGTGTGTAGCGAGGGTTTTCCTTCTCTCCCTCTCCTCCTGGGGGACCCCTCCCCCACCTCTGGCGAAATTCCGCACCGAGGCGCGCGGGGAGGC